GAACCCCTCCTCCCCTCTCCCCCCCCCCCCCTCCCCTGGCCCTCCCCCCCCTCCCCTACCCACCCCCCCCTCTCGCTCCCTCGAAAAACCGGGTGGGTCACTACCGGTTCGACCCCCCCCCCTCGAAAACCGGAAGGGGGGGGTCACTACGGTTCGAACCCCTCCCACCCCCCCCCTCTCACCGCCAGCATACGACTCCCGGTCCCTACCACCGTCCTCGTCCTCACCACATCCCCCACTGTTGTTCCCAACACCAGTGTCCCCACTACCACTGTCCCCACTGGTTCCACCACCGCTCCACTGTCCCCACCAGTGCCACCACCACAGTCGCACTGTCCCCACTGTCCCCACCACTGTTCCCACCACGGCTCCACTCTCCCAACTTTCTCCACGGCCCCGACCATTGCCCGACTATCCCCACTGTCCCCGCTGTCCCACTGACTCCTCCGCTGTGCCACTGAGCTGTCCCACTGTTTCCACCACTGTTCCCACGGTCCCCACCACTGTCCCCACCACTACCTCTGTCCCATTGTCCCACCGCCGTCCTCGCCACCGCCTTCACCACTGTCCCCACCACCACTGTACCCTCCACTGTCCTACCGTTTCCACCACATTCCCACTGTCCCCACACCACTTTCCCCACCACCACCGTCCCCACCACTGTCCCACTGTCCCCGCTGTTCCCACCATTGTCCCCCACCCCACCACTACCGTCCCCACCACTGTCCCACTGTCCCCACCACTGTCCCGCTGTCCCCTCACCACTGTCCCCACCACCACCGTCCCCACCACTGTCCGCACCCCCCCTCGGTTTTCGAGGGGGGGGGGGCGGGGGGGGGTTCGAACCGGCAGTGACCCCCCCCGGTTTTCAAGTTCAAAGGGGGGGGGGTCGAACCGAACCGGTAGTGACCCCTCCCCTTTTCATGATGAGTGCGGGGGGGGGGAGGGGTCCGAACCGGCAGTGACCCCCCCCCCGGTTTTCCCGAGGGGGGGGCGGGGGGAGGGGTTCGAACCGGTAGTGGCCCCCCCGGTTTTCCGCCAGCAGCGGTAGAACACGCTCTTCCACACCTAGCCGTCCACGAACCGCCACGTGGCCCTGAGGGCCTGCATTTCCACCCGGCCTTCCCAGAGTTGGGTCGCATACATGTAGACGATGCTGGTGGTCGCCGCGTAGAGCGGGTCGTACAACGCCTGGTCCTGCATGAGCATGCCCATACAGATGCTGCCCGCGGGGCGCACTCCTGCCAACATGGCAGCTACCGATCGGATCGGCTTGAGCTCGGCGTCTGCGACCCCGCTGACCGAGGCCCCGTGCGTGACCGAGGGTGCGAGACCAGCCGTCTGGATGCGCATCATGCGTCTGGCACCCACTGCCTTCTGGAGAATCATGGACCGTCGAACTCGGCCGCGTAGCTGCGCAAGTCTGTCGGCCTCCTGGCGGCGTCGCGCTCTGGGCCCACCCAACTCGCGCCCGAGGTCGCGGATCCACGGCAAGCCCGTGGTTTGCCGAGCCCGCGCCGCCAAGCTGAACCGCCGCGCAGCGCGACTTGACGAGGCCACGTAGCCCAGCTTCCTGATCTGGATGGGCAGCTTGAGGGACTTGAGCTCGCGCGTGAGCTGGTCGATGCCTTCGCCGAGCTCCAGCGAACTGCGGCCAGCGGGGCCAGTCCACAGCAACGACGCGTCGTCCACCAACTGCCTGGGCTGCAGCGCGGGGCAGAGGGCGCTGAGCCGCAGCATGGCTCTGTGCAACAGCACCTCCAAGAGCGCGGTCGCCTGCGAGCAGCCTGCCGCGATGCCCTGGAAAGAGACGTAGAGCTCGCTCTCGCTGCCGTGGGCCCGCACCACGCGAGCCTGGCAGTATAACTGCACCGGTAGCCATGCAAGTCTCGGTGGGGATCCCACTCCGATAGCTTCGCGCACCAATGCTACAGGCGCAACCATTTCGAAACATGTCATCAAGACCACCACGAGTGTGATCACGTCCTGTTGCCTGGCCAGCGCAATCTCCGAGGACAGGTTGTGGGCGAAAGCGGAGGCAGAAGAACTCCTGCTTGGGCCAAGCCCCCAGGCGTGCTCCTCTCGATGGGTGGCTTTCCACTGGGCTGCCAGCGGGCGCCGCGCGCCACTCCGGAGGCGAACCACCGCGTTGAGTAGCCCGATCAGTCTCATGCCTCCTCCAGCCTTTGGGAATCGGACTAGTGACTAGGACTGTCACGATGCGCTGCGGCGGCCATCCAAGGCGATGCTCGCAGGCGTGGAATAGTAGCGACAGCGCCAGCAAAGCCTCGTCGGAGAGGACGTCGAGTTGCCTCGGGTGGAGGCCTGTTTGGCCAACGGCCGTGCCCTGCTTGAATGAGCGGATGGCCGAACGCAGGTCTTGCACCGCGAGGCGCGGGAGCTCTGGCCGATGCTCAGCACCAGGAGGGAGCGAGGCCTCGCCGAGCTGGTGGTGCTCCCAAATGGCCTTCCAGTCGCCGAGCCCGGTCTCGCGAGGTCGCACGGGTGGCCACTCACATTTGCCCGTGGGACTTCTGCCTCCTGCCTCGGCTTGGCGAACCCGCGTGCCAGCCCAGCGCGCCCCCGCGAACGCGTCTTTGGTCCAAGTGGCCCAGGCGCTGGTGCACCTGGCCTCAGCCTCCGCGGTGAGCTGCTTGGCCTTGGCGATGATGCCCTGCAGTCGGACCCCCACCGAGTGGCTGGCCAGCATCTCACGGCCGGCCTGGAAGATCTCACGAGCACCGCCATCCAGCTGTCTCAGGATGTGCTGCTGCTTGTTGATGCGCCCACAGAACGCCTCGAAGGTGAGCAGATCGGCGGCCAGGCTATGGAGCCGCGTGTAGCGCTGCAGCCCGTGGAAGACCATGCCTCCGGCAGCTCCTGGGGGCCGCGGCTGAGGTGCGCGGCCTGCTCGATCGCCTGAGCGCTGGTCGAGCCACTCCCGCTGCTGCTCGAAGGCTCGTAAATGCATGTCCAACGCCTCGGCCCAGTCCCCCTCAGAGCGTTGGCGCAGCTGCTGGAGGTGAGCTCGGTGGCGGCTGGCCGACTCGCACATCTCACGGGTCCGATGCCACCGTCGTGCGTCTCGTGGCAGGGCCTCGTCCCAGACGCCACCGCCCCTCGGGGCATCAAAGACTGGGCCCCGCAGCTGCTCCGCTGCGCACGGCGCGCACCACTCCATCCAGCCGTCGAGAACGTCCTGCTCGGTCTGCTGGTCGTTGAGCGGGTCGCCGGTTGCGCCGTCGGGGCCCCCGTTGACATGCTTCTTGCCGTCGCTGCGCCACTACCTGGTCGGGGTCCTCACCGCGGCCCTCGGGCGGAGCCTGGCTATCTTCACCAGCGTCCATCGTTGCATAAGCCAAGGCAAGCCGCCAGGCTCCGCCTGTGCAGCACCACCTCCATGCCCATCGCGAGCGAGACTGGGATCTGGAGACTGGCTATCTTCACTGGCGCCCATCTTGGCGACGAACGACCTCCCCGCGGGCAGTGCGACCAGCGGGGATCCTGACCAGGCCCTTGCGGGCCGCCGGCCCCCAGACCACCCTGACCTTCTTCGGCGCCCAGCGGCGCCGCATCCAGCTCGTCGAAGGGGCCCATCTCGCCGCCCACGTTGCGCAGCGTCGGTCTTGCAGGGAGGGCGACGGGGCGAGCGTTGCAGCACCTCTCCACGCCGCCATCAGCAACGCCGCGCGCGAGGGCATCGGCCACCCCACCGCTGTGGGCCTCGCTCGGGCTTGCAGGGAGGGCGACGGGGCGAGCGTCGCCGCAGCTCACCAGGCCGCCAGGAGCAACACCATGTGCGAGGGCATCGGCCGCCCCACCGCGGCGGGCCTCGCTCGGGCCTGCAGGGAGGGCGTCGGGGCGAGCGGCGCAGCACCCCAACGGGCCGCCAGGAGCAACTTGCTGCGCGAGGGCCTCGGTCACCCCACCGCTGCGGGCCTCGCTCGGGCTTGCAGGGAGGGCGACGGGGCGAGCGTCGCAGCGCCTCACCAGGCCGCCAGGAGCAACAACATGAGTGAGGGCATCGGCCACCCCACCGCTGTGGGCCCCGCAAGCAGCAGGCCCTTTCCCCCGGGCATGCGGGGCGCGCGCAGTTGCGCTGCCGTCGATCACGTTCGGGCCATGCTCTCTAAACGGCGTAAATCAAACAAGTCAGCCTCCAAAGTCGAAACCAGAGCTGGCCTGACCTCTGAAGGGGTAGCTGCAGGGTCCACCTGACCGCATCCGCTCCCCCGCGCTGTCTGCTTGCCATTGGAAGGGACAGACGGCGCGCGCGATGGGGGGTCCACCTGACCATTTGGTTGCTCGTCATTCTGATCGGCCTGGCAGATTGCGAGCTGGGCGACTGTCTTGCTCACGTAGCCGCGCACTTGCATGATGCGCTGGGCCCGCCTGGCCGCAACAGCCCACGCGCTCACGTCGAGCCCGTGGCGTGCTCGTCGCTCGGGAGGGCGCCGCTGGAGTTGGCGCGTGCGCTGTTGGACTGGGCCTTATCTGCCCACATAGCGCTACTTGCGAGAGCCTACGATGTCCCGTCTTCCTGCGAGCTGCTCCTCATTACCTCGGAGGACAAAGTACCATGCTGTCGCGAGCTGGGGGAAAGACTGCGCCTGATCGATGGGGCCGTATACCTGCTCCCAGCCGCGCCAGTGGTAGCGCGCACACCCCACAAGCAACTTCTGAGGAAAGGGCTTCGGTTCGTCGAGCTCGCGGGCGATCGGCGGCACTGCGCGCCTGGCAATGGCCAGCCTGACGGGCCGATGCGGCCAGATGATGTCAGCGACGGAGACGCCAACCTCGAACGCGACGCCATGCAGCATGGGCCCATGCACCAGGAAATAACCCAGCGTCGTGGCAGGCACGGCCTGCACGCAGGTCGGCCCCAGCGGGGCAACGCACCTCGCGCTAGCCAAGGGGGGTCAGCCATGCTCCAGCAGCTCCTGCGGCGACATGTTGAAGCCGCCACCGACAACCCATGCCGGCCCAAGGCCTGCGACCACGCGCTTCACATGCTGCGCGACCTGCCACGCCAACGCCAGGTTGCGGGGCGACCTGCCCCCACCCGCGTGGAGGCAGAGAGCCGCCGCCATGAAACCGCCAGGAAGGGCAGCGTGGACGTGGGCCGCCACGGCCCTGTCTGGCACGCTGACGCCGTCGTCCAACGGCGGCGCCTGGGTGACGGCAATGTCGGCCAAGACCGAGACGCCCCCCCTCAGCGCCCCCTGCCGCGGCGGGCAACGCGGGGCACCAGGCGCCGCGCCAGCCAGCGTCTTGGGCGCCACCCTGCACCTCGGAGAGCTTGTCAGAGCGCGCGCGGCGCTCCTGCGCGATGACCACGTCACTGCTGCAGTCGACGAGGTACTTGGACAATGTGCCAAAAGAGTTAGCATCAACTGTGGGAATATGCAACTTGGTTCTCGTCATGATCGGCGACATGGAGAACTCAGGCCGCGCGCGGCTTCTTGGCCACCTTCCACTTGGGCTTGGCCAGGCGGAGGCGCTGGACAGCTGCTCGGAGCTCATCCTCGGAGGCTTCAGAAGCATTAGGGAACTCAGCACCAGAGTCGCGCAGGTAATCGCGAAGCTCTTCTGCAGTGGCCTGGTCGACCGACTCCTCCTCCTGGACCTCATCGGCGTCGCCTGCCATGGCAGCGTCCTGCTGCTCTCTGGCTGCATGGGCAGCTGCTTCAGCTGCCTGCTTCTCGTTGGCCTCTCGCTGGGCCTGGGCTTGCTGCTCCTGGGTCTGGCGGCGCTGGCGAATATTGCCCACCACTGCAGCCACTTCCTGCTGCAGGTCAGGAGCAGCGCCAGCAGCCACAAGCACCTGCTCCATTTTGGGCAGCGCCCAGCTGCTCTGGTCGTTGCCAGCGTCGGCGCCAGGTGGCCCCGTGGGCGGCTGCGGCAGAACGCCATAGAGCTGGGCCCGCTGGCTCTCGAGCTCGAGCAGCTCCCCGCGAGCACGGCATCCTGCAAGGCGACTTCCGCCTGCAGGGCCACCAGCTGCGCCTGCTTCGCCTCGCGGGAGTTCAGCTGTTTGGTGATGCGCTGCTCGACCTTGGTGGTCTTGAAACCGAGAGTTTTGAGTTGCTGCGACGGCGGCTTCTCCTGAAAAAGCTGTGCCCGCAACTTGGCCTGCTCAGCTTTGTACTGCGCCACCAGCCGGGTAACCTCTGGAATGTCGACGCCTGCCAGCTGCTTGAGAAAGCCATCCAGCTCGTCCAGCCGCTTCTTGACAGCAGACACGGCACCGGTGTCACCCTCGCCGCTCTCGACGCTGGCGGGGGGTGCCCTCGCCTCAGGAGCCTTCGCCTTCGCCAGCTTGAACTCCGACGTTAGCGTGCGCACGTGTTTCTGCATCTCCAGCAGCTGCGCCGAGATGGAGCCTGCGTCTTTGCCTCCACCACCGCCTTGGGCCCAAGGAGCTGGCTTCGATGGCGTGGTAGACTTGACAGGGCCCCCGTACACGACGCTTTTTGCCAGACCACAACTGTTGCAGCATAGCTTGTCGGCGAAGTTGACAAAGGGCTTGCGATCACGTCCCAGGCAGGATTTGCAGAGCCATTTGTCACGACGTGCTGCACGAGTGCCTGGCTTCCCTCCAGCGGCAGTTGGCGCCATTGCTCCTCAACCACACACTCCGAAGCTGTGCCCGCGAGAAGCAGGATGCCGGCCAGGCTGGCCACAAGAGAGAGAATCTTGCTCGAAGTTTGTTGCCTCAAAGCGCGAACCCCCTCGCGCTCAGAGATGCCCGAGAACGGACTCGCGGTCGTCGGGCGGTTCATAGTTCATAGCCTTGAGCCAAAATGGCTACGGAGGGCATGTGTGTGTGGATGTGTGTGTGTGTGTGTGTGCGTGCGTGTGCGTGTGTGCGTGTGTGCGTGGGCCGAGACTGGCATGCAGAGCTCAGCAGTGGTACGTCAGCGAGAGATCCACCGCATTGAACAAAATCAAGACGGAGGTTTTTCGCAGGGGGCCTTCGCCGGGCCCTGGGACCGTCAAAAAAGACTCAGGATGAAAAACCGGTCTTGGGGAATGGTCGAGACTTCCGGGGACCCCGTATTGAAAAAATCACGACATCGGATCTCTGGGCAGGTTCGTGTCGTGCCGACTACGGCGTTGGTTTCCGAGGCCGCGGGGATCGTCCAGACCTGAACGATCGGCCGTGTCCAAAACGTCAAAATCGTTCCACAGCGAACGATTCTGGGTTGCCCGCGGCGTTCAAAGCTGAACGCCGCTGGCGGGGACGCCGCCGGTCGACACGACACGAACCTACCGTGGAGCAGCAGTATTCAGCATGCAGCAGAAAGCGCATCAGCGTGAAACGCGCGGCGCGGCGGAGAGAAAACGAAGCCCACACAACGGAGAAGTGTCGGGAAGGCCATCTACCCTTGCCATTGGACAATGACTGATCGCGTAAGTGCTCGAAGACATCAACTTCCGAACATCATCCAGAAAGCGACACTCTTGGATCGCGGCGCGAACCACGATAAGAGAGGGAATGCACAAACCAGGCACGCGAGACAAAGAACATCTGCATCCTCGTCCGTGTATGTTCGCGAGCACCTGAGCTTGTCCGCAGGATGCGCGCAGGAGGCGCAGGAGCACGCACACCGGGGAGCTCTGACGGCTGACAAGTCTCTCGCCCCAAGCCCTGGAGCTCTGGTGGGGCAAGCCACTGGATGGACGACCCGCATTTACAGGATTAAGACTGAGCGACGCGGGGAAAGTCTGAGGACGGAGAGCAACAGGAAAGTCTAGCACAGCGGGACGCGCAACATGCGGAAGTTGACATATGAAGATCCGCCCCCGTGCCTCAGGCACGAAGTGGAGTGCCCCAAGGCTCGTGCAGCACTGAGAGGTGGACGTTGTGCTGCTGCTGCTGCTGCTGCTGCTGCTGCTGCTGCTGCAGCGAGAGTGCACGGACCAATCGTTTCCCGTGCCTTTTCCGGGGTTTTCCAGGCTGGCTCCCATGAGTTCAGAGGCGTTTCCTACGCCTCCTGTGGAGGCTGTGCCTCACTCCCCCAAAGCGACCTCCCGAACCCTCCCATGAGTCCAAGAGGGCCTCAAGTCGCCGCACGATCGCTCCAAGACGCCCAAGATTGCCTCAAGATGACCCAAGAGGCCTCCAAGACGCCACAAGAGGCATCCAAGGGGCCTCCCAAGAGGGCCCCAAGAGGCAAAATGTGTTGATTTTCCTGCGGTGTTTGTAAGATGTTGGCGTTCCCGCCTTTTCGGATTTCCGACGCTCCAAGACGGCCCAAGAGGCCCCCAAGACCACCCCGAGACGGCCCAAGAGGCCTCCAAGACGGCCCAAGAGGCGCCCAAGACGGCCCAAGAGGGCCCCAAGACGGCCCCAAAAAGGACCCAAGAGAGGGAACACCCACAGATCATCCCAAGACGGCCCCAGAGGCGCCCCAAAGGGGCCCCAAACTGCCCCAAATGGCCCCCAGTCGGCCCCAATACGGCCAAGAGGGCCCCGAGGGCCCTAAGAGAGCCCAAGAGGGCCCCAATAGGCTCCCCAGCGCGCCCGACGAGGAGGAGGGGAAGGAGGAGGAGGAGGAGGAGGAGGAGGAGGGAGGAGGAGGAGGGAAGAGGAGGAGGAAGGAGGAGGAGGAGGAGGGTGTGAGGAGGTCGGAAGAAGAAGGGAGGGAAGGAGGAGGGGAAGAAGAGAAAGAGGCGAGGAGGAAGGAGGAAGGACGGTGGAGGAGGAGGGGGGGAGGAGAGAAGAAGGAGGAGGAGGAGGAGAGGAGGTAGAGGAGGAGGAGGAGGAGGACGAGGGAGGAGGAGGAGGGGGCGGGAGGGAGGATGGAGGAGGGGACGAGGACGAGGAGCAGGAGGGTAGGGAGGGGGGGGAGGAGGAGGAGGAGAGAGGAGGAGAGGAGGAGGAGGAGGAGGAGGAGGAGGAGGAGGAGGAGGCAGAGCAGGAAGGAGGTTGGAGGAAACCCCAGGAACGAAGGAGGAGGAGGGTGAGGGTGGGTGAAAGAAGAAGAGAGACAAAGAAGGGAGGAAGGAGGAGGGAAGAAGAGAGAGGAGGAGGGGGGGAGGAGGAGGAGGGAGGGAGGGAGCCAGAGGAGGAGGGGCGGGAGGAGGAGGAGGAGAGGAGGTCGGAGAGGAGGAGGAGGAGGAGGAGGAGGAGGAAAAGGGGACGACGACCGAACCAACGACGACGAGGAGGAGGAGGAGGAGGAGGAGGAGGAGGAGGAGGAAAAGAGGAGGAGGAGGAGGAGGAGGAGGAGGAGGAGGAGGAGGAGGAGGAGGAGAAAGAGGAGGAGAAAGAGGAGGAGGAAGAAGAGGAGGAAAAGAAGGCCGATGAGGCGGAGGAGGCGGAGGAGGCGGAGGAGGCGGAGGAGGAGGAGGAGGCGGAGGAGGAGGCGGAGGAGGAGGAGGAGGCGCAGGAGGCGGAGGCGGAGGAGGAGGAGGAGGAGGCGGAGCGCGGGGTGACGTAACAAGCTCTCAACGCCAAGGCTCCCAGTACGAACGGTGGTGTGAGTAATTTCGGTCAAGTTCCTGCAGCGTTCTTTCCGTTTCCATGCCGGCCCGGGTCTAATAGCCTTCGGCCAGACCCCCGCCGCCGTGATTGGATTGTGGGTATGAAGCCTATTGGATGTTCGTTGGCGTCTTGGGCCCGTCTGGGGACCCTCTGGGACCGTTTTGGGCCCGTTTGGGGTGCCTGCGGCACCGTCTTGGGATGATATTTGGGGCCTCTGGGCCGTCTTGGGCCCGTCTGGGGGCTCTCTTGGACCGTTTTGGGCAAATTTGGGGCGCCTCTGGGGCTGTCTTGGGACGATCTTTGGGGCCTCTTGGGCCGTCTGGGTCCCTTCTGGGAGGGAAGAGCGCCTCAAACACATGAACCGAACTTACTGACACCACCGTTCGCACTGGGAGGCTTGGCGTTGAGAGTTTGATACGTCACCCCTCCCTCCTCCTCCTCCTCCTCCTCCTCCTCCTCCTCCTCCCTCCTCCTTCCTCCTCCTCCTCCCTCATGATCTTCCTCCTCTCCTACGCCTCTCCTCCTCCTCTTTCTCCTCCCCCTCTCCTCCTCTCTCTCCTCCTCCTGATTCTTCCTCCTCCTCTTCTCCTCCTTCTCCTCCCACTCCTGCTCACTCATCACTCCTCCTCCTCCTTCCACCCTCCTACTCTCATCCCTCCTCCTCCTTCTCTCCTCCTCCTCCTCCTCCTCCTCCTCATCCTTCCTCCGCCTCCGCCTCCGCCTCCGCCTCGCCTCCGCCTCCGCTACTCTCATCCTGATCCGCCTCCTCCGTCTCTCCTCCTCCTCCTCTCCTCAGTCAATCCTCCTCCCCTCCCTCCTCCGCTCCTTTCCCTCTCTCCTCTCCTTCTCTTCTCCCCTCCTCCTTTACCTCCCCTCCTCCTCCTCCCCTTGGCCTCGTCTCGTTGCTCCTCCTCCCTCCTCCTTTTCCCGCTCCTCCTCCTCATTCTCCTCCTCCTCTTCCTCCCCCTTTTCCTTCTACTCCTCTCCTCCCTTAGCTCGTCCTCGTTCCTCCTCCTACTCCGCCTCCTCTCCCCTCCTCCGCGGCCTCACTCCTCTCGTCATCCTCTCCTCCCCCCATCCTCCGACCTCCTAATCCTCCTCCTCTCCTCCTCCTCCTCCTCCTCCTCGCCTCCGTCCTCCTGCTCCTCCTCCCTCTTTACCTCCCGCCTCCTGCCTTGCCTCGTGCCCTGTCCTCGCGCCTCCCCCTCCTCCTCCTCCTCCTCCTCCTCCTCTTCTTATTCTTATTCTTATTCATATTAGTTTTATGATTATTACTATTATTATGATTCGGATTCATATTCTTATTAGTAGTCTTATTCTTATTCTTATTCTTACCATTATTATTAATATTACTATTCTTAGTATGATTATCATTATTGTTATTCTTATTCTTATTATTATTGTTCTTATTATTGTTCTTATTATTGTTCTTAATAGCATTGTTATTATTATTAGTAATAATACTACTATTAGTATTATTATTACTATTAGTATTCGTATTACTATTAGTATTACTATTATTATTAGTAGTATATTAATAATATTATTAGTATTAGTAGTATTAGTATTATTATTCACAGCATTAGTCCGATTCTTATTATTATCATCATCATCACCATCATCATCATCATCATCATTATTAGTATTATTAGTATTATTAGTATTATTAGTATTATTATGATTTTTATTAGTAGTAGTAGTGGTAGTAGTCGCATTCGTATTCGCATTCGTATTCTTATCATCATTATTAGTAGTACCATTATTATTAATGTTAGTATTACTATTATTAATATTAATATTGGTATTCGTGTTATTATTAGTACTAATAGTATAAGTATTATTATTAATAGTATTATTATCAGTAGTATTATTATTAGTAGTATTATACTCTTGCACAGGGTGTCTAGAGCTCCGACCACTTTATTTCGGCGTCGTCGTCGCTCCCCCCCAGCTGCCTTGTGCCCTTCATGTGTCGCTATATGTGTCGCTGTGTGCCTTGTGCCCTTCATGTGCCGCTATATGTGTCGCTATATGTGTCTGTGTCGCTGTGTGTCGCTATGCGTCTCCATGTGTGCGTCGCTAAGTGTCGCTGTGTGTCGCTATGCGTCGATATGTGTGTGTGTCCATACATGTTTCTATATGTCGACATGTGCCGACATGTGTCGCTATGTGTCGCTCCCCAGCACCCCAGCGCACCGCCCCCTCCGCCCCGACGACTTTATTTCGGCGTCGTCGTCGCTCCGCCCCCCCATCTCCTTCTCCTCAGCAGCCCAGCGCGCTGCCCCCTCCGCCCCGACCACTTTATTTCGGCGTTGTGTCGACATGTGTCGCTACGTGTCGCTCCCCAGCACCCCAGCGCACCGCCGTCCGCCCCGACGACTTTATTTCGGCGTCGTCGTCGCGCCGCCCCCCTCCGCCGCCCCGCCCCACCATTTTATTTTCGGGTCGGCGTCGTCGTCGCTCCTCCCCTTGTCCTTTTCCCCAGCAGCCCAGCGCGCCGCCCTCTCCGCCCCGACCACTTTATTTCGGCGTCGTCGTCGCCCTATTTCGGCGTTGTGTCGACATGCGTTGCTTTCCCCAGCAGCGCAGCGCGCCGCCCTCTCCGCCCCGACCACTTTATTCCGGCGTCGTTGTCGCCCCGACAACTTTATTTCGGCGTCGTCGTCGCCCCCCCTCTCCCTCTCCTCAGCAGCCCAGCGCGCTGCCCCCTCTTCCCCGACCACTTTATTTCGGTGTTGTGTCGACATGTGTCGCTATGTGTCGCTCCCCAGCATCCCAGCGCACCGCCCCCTCCGCCCCGACGACTTTATCTCGGCGTCGTCGTCTCCCCCCCCCACTCT